TAAGTTGTATTTACATTTTCATTTGTTTGTAGGTATTTTTTAATTTCCTCTTGAATTTCTCCTGTGACCCATTGGTTGTTCAGGAGGTTGTTGTTTAATTTCCAAGTGTTATGGAGTTTTTGGAGTTCCTTTTGTTGTTAATTTCCAATTTCACTGCACTGTGGTCAGATAATATTTTGCTCTTCATTCGCAACATAAATCTGGCTAAAAGCCCCCAACAGTAGCCATACCACTGCCCCAACATTCGACTGCCTGGAAATTTCTTTTGCCAGATTAATCAGTCCACCGCCCTTAATCTCAGTCCGAGGAAAAGTCTCTGGACACAAGCAAAATGCAGACAAACTTTCTGCCAAGCCACAAAACATCATCTGGAGTCCAACAACCAAAGCATTCCTTCTTCCCAGCAGAAACCTCCAAAACCTGGTCTTTACTGGCACGATTTGTATCAGCCTTCTGATCTGAGCTCTGATCAGAATCTCCCTTGCAGAACAGCTGAAGGTGTTCTAGCGCTTCTCTTTCAGGTGACATCTCCAAACCTTTCCAAACTCTTCCCACAAGCCATTTCCAAACACTCTTGAACCACATGGTCAGGTACAGTAACAGCAACAACCCTACTTCTCTGGTACCAAATTCTGTCTTGGTTACTTTTCTCTCATTGCTGAGACAAAATACCTGACACTCAAAATTAAGGAAGGAAAGGTTTATTTAGCTCACAGTTTGTGGAGGTTTCAGCCCCACTTGGCTGGCTCCAAGACAGAGTGGCACACGGCAGAGGACAACCATTCATGGTGGCAGAAGATAGCAAAGACAACAAAAGCAAAAGGGAGGAGGGGCGGCAGGTAGCCTCTTTCCTTCCCATATGTTGTATGCAAAGTAACCCGCTCCAGGGCAGGTGTAGCACTCACATCCACAATTCCAGCACTGGACCATGAATCACTCATAAACTCTAGAAGCCCACCCCACCCAATGACTGCACAAGGCTTTGGGGGGACACACAGACACAAACCATAACACCATCCTTTCAATTATCTTAAGTATTTGCTCACAGTGATGCAAATCTGACTAATACACCATGCCCTGCAAGCCAGGAATGGAGTCCTTAGCAAGAAGTGAATTAGCTCGCACCTTGATGTCGGACTTTCCAGCCTCCAGAACTGAGAGAGCTAAGTATCTGTCATTTAGGCCACTAACTCAGCCTATGGTGCTTTTGCAATAGCAACCTAAAGTGAGGCAGTACCTAAAGGACATGATGAGAAAGGTTAGCTGGGTGTGGCTGCACATGTCAGCTGTTTGGGAGGCTGATGCAGGAGGATTTCCAAGTTTGAAGTCAGCACAGGCAACTTGCCTTAGAACAACCCCAGTCCAACCTCCCTCCAAAAGAAAGAGCTGGGGATGTAGCTCAGTGCTCTTTGGGTTCAATCCCCAGGACCACAAGGCAGAGGTGGGGATGGGGGTATGACTAATTTTAAGACTATTTGTAGTCACAATCTTTCTCACACTAAAAATGTAAGGCAGTTGAAACTACAAAACTGCAAGGTTCAAAAAGAGCAAGGATCTGGAATTACTTCACCTCTACAGGATCTGGACCCAGGACCAGTGGAAATAACTCTGGGGGTGGAGACTTAGGGGTTGCCACTTGTCCCTTCTCTCTCTTGCAGACAGGACCATCAGTTATGCAAAGTGATGAGACTCAGTGCCACCATTAAAGTGCCTACACGATGACTATGAAACGCCCTTCCAAGGCCCATGTGCTAAATGAAAGTTTGTTCCCTCACAGGGGAGGGGGCACTATTGGGCAGTGGCAGAAGCTTTAAGAGATGCAGCCTAGTAGGTGATTTTTAGGTCACTGGCCCCTCCTTGCAGTCTTTGTCACTTCCTGACCATGAGGTGGGACTGGCTTCTGCTCACCTCACCAGCCATGATGCACCCAAAGCAATAGGACAAATGACCATGGACTGAAACCTCTAAATTGATGGGCCAGAATAAACCTATTCCCTTTGTAAGTTGATTATCTCAGGCATTTGTTACAGTAATGGAAAGCTGATAACACATCTGTGCAACACCTGATAACTCAAAAACAGCCCAGAGGTAGAGCCTCAGGCAAGCTTGTACCTACCCTCTGCAGACACTGAGCAGCTGCAGGTTCCACAGTCCAGCGACCTAGTGTCCACCTGTTTGGGCCATGCAGGTGACAGCCCCAAAGTGCCAGATGCCCCAGTAGGCGTGAGGTCCCCATACTCAGGACGGGTCCCTGACACCTGCTAAAGGAAGCAGAGTGACAACCTAGAACCAAAAGATGATGTCAAAGGAGCGACTCAAGGGAATGAGCCAGGCAGATGGAGGAGGAAGAAAAACCATGAACTTAAGGAGAGCTTGCACATGGGGACAGACAGCAGAGATGCAGGACACCAGTTGTGAAAGTCAAGGGCTTGGGGATTTGGTACAAACTGCAGAACAAATTGCACTTCTGTCTCCTGGCCCCTGCCCACACGTGAGGTAGACAGGGCTGTCGGAGCCGAGATGGCCCTTTGTCCCTGCTGGTGGTGCAGGCAGCAGCAGTGGGCAGTGAGCAAGGCTGGGCACAGAGTGGAGGGTGGAACAGGTTGGGGCAAGCAGGGAGCTGGAAGAGTGGTGGCTTTGGTCAGTGCTTCTCAGGCAAGGCAACTCGAGAGGGAACATTTGTTCTTCTGCCATCAGGAGCTGGGCTGTTAGGGACAATCTAGGAAGCTTAGCAGGGGAATTGGGAAAGGACAGACTCAGCAGCTGGACAGCAGACTTCAGGGCTGTGCTGCCACAGGGCCAACAGTGCTGTTTTCGAACACCAAGACCTGAGAGACTGAGGGTATCAGAGGGAGAAGCACCCAGAGGCTCAGGGTAGAGAGAAGTGGAGAGATGCGAGGTCGCTATACAGACTGGTGTGGGCACCAAGGGCCTTGCAAGGGTACTTGGAGGAGGGCAGGGGACACAGTACACTTGTCCAAAGGCATGGCAGAAGGGGATGAAGGGCCAGAGCCAGAGAGGGGCAGAGATTGCCAGTGCCAGTGGACTATGTGGGACAGTGAGCAATGCCAAGGCCCCTTCTCCTGTGAAGCCAAAATGGTCCAAGCAGATGGACAAGCAGGCAAGCAGTGCATGCATGGAGATTTGCAGCAGGGCCCAAAATCACAGGAAGAGGAGTTCTCCTTAGCCTTACAATTCAATGAAAGTCCAAAGCAAAATCCAAATACCCTGCGTTGAAGACACAGCTGGGTCATCTGATTACAAGCTGCCCTAGATCTTATACAGTCACATCTCTTACACCTCTTAGGACAGGTATGATTGCTAGAAAAGCAGCTCTCTCAAAGCAAGTGTGGTAACTCACTCCAATAATCCCAGCGCTCTGGAAGGCTAAGGCACAAGGATCCTAAGTTTGAGCCCAGCCTGGGCAATTTAGTGACTTAGTGAAACACTGTCCCAAAATTAAAAACAGAAAAGGGGTGGGGATCTAGCTCAGCGCAAAGGATAGGGATTCAATTAAAGAGAGAAAGAAGAGATGAAAAAAGAAAAGAAAGGAAGCAAAGATGAAATTTCAAACTGCCACAATATTTCAGTTCTTTAGAGAAAAATACCAGACTAAATTAAGGCTTTTCAGAATCCTCAGGTGAAGCTCACAGCTGAGCAAAGAGCCCAGCTAAGTTCAGACCCTTCCAGGAAAAGTGACTGACCTTCCCGGGAGAAGTGTGGGTGGTTACGAGGGAAGCAGAACATTTGACTAGAGTCTCACTTTCAAGAATAATATCTGTTAGGGGTATTTTTCATCATTACAAGTATGAACATTTTAATGGTTTGAGATACTTTATTTATCAAAAATGTTACCAGTGCATGTCATTAAATTCTTCCAAGCTTTACTTTTTCCCTTCATGAAAAAAGCTCTTTCTCAGACCTAAATCCCCAACAGCTGTTGGTCATTAATTTCTCTCCCATAAATGACATGGCCTTTCACTCATTTGGTGGGTGGCTCCTGATGAACCGTCTGTTCTAGAGATGCCAGAGCACTGGCTTAAATCACCAGAGGCCATGACTTCTCCCAGTTACACACAGAAAGTGGTGGCCACACACAAAGGTATTCTATACAAGAATCTCTTCATCATTTATGGTATACACAGAATTTCACTCTCAAAACAACAAAAGTGACAGTAAAGACCATGCAGATCCACATGCAAACAAAATAGGATTTACAGAAAATCCAGAGGGGCCATCCCAGGAAGGACTGGGGATAAAAAGGGACAGAGGCTTCCAGAGGCTGGCTGCACTCAGCGGCTGGATCTTCCCAGAAGAAATCCGAGCAGGGCCCAGGCAGCAACGATGCTACAGACTCTGCAAGACAACGACAAGGATGAGAAAGGCCCGGCAGGGCAAGGTCTGCATGTGAACTCTGCAGGGCTGCAAGCACCATACAGTCACCCTTTGTCCTAACTCCATTCACCCAAAACTACTTTCTTTCCATCACTCCCCTGAGGCCAACACTGAAGTTCTGCCTCCCAGTCAATGGCTGGGATTTCTCTGCTGACTTAGATCAGAGGTTGGCAGAAGAACACAGGGATGCCAAAAGTTTTTCTCCCACAGTGCTGCCCACTACAGGGATGGCTCCCACCAATACACCAGAACCCTCAAAGGTATACGTCCGTCTTCCTGGTTGCTCAGCCCCAAACCCTGCATGCATCCCTGGCCCATCTTGGGTCTGTTGCTGGCTCCCCTCACCATCCCCAGGGCAGCCAGGCAGGACCAAGCCACAGCCACACTGCACGCCCTGCTCTCTGCCTCAACTGCAGCCCACCTTGGCACCTGACAGCAATGCTTGGAAAATGCAAGCTGGATCTGTCCCTCCTCTGTCCAGACCCTAGTGGTCCCTTACTTCTTCCAAGATCCTCAATCTTCCAAGGCCCACGATCCTCACCTGTGCAGCCCCAGCAGAGCAGGACCAGTTCCTCTTTGCCTGTTCTGCTCACGGTGGCTCCAGGGGCCCTCAACAAGGCTTTGCCCTACTGCCTCCTAGCCCATGCTCTGCCCCCACAGCGCCCTGCCTGGCTCACTCCCTCCCCTGAGTCTTTAATAAGACCTCTCCAAAAGCTCCTTGGAGCCCAGCCCTCCTTCCTTGACTGCCCCCGCCACCTGCTCATCTTTAACAAACATTTGTCCCTCACACAGACAGTGCACTCACTTATGTTTGTCTTCACCTCCACTGGCTCGCTCGTGGGACTCTGATTTTACTCACTCATTAATCCGTACAGCGCACAGAGGCACCCACCACTGCAGATGCACAGTTATTTGCAGAATGTACTAAACAAACTTCTGTTCACTGTAGTTGTGGACACCTCCTTGACAGACAAGACCAGCTAGTGAGGTAGCATGAATCAGACCAATCAGGGACCCAAACAGGCAAAGAGCAGTTTCAGGCTGCGTGCTTACCGTAGCACGCAGTTGACATCAGGGGAGTGTCTCCAGTATCGGTACAGGGATATCTGCAGGGTTGGGTGGCACCTGTACTCCTTCAGGACACTGCGGACACTGCCAAAGAAGTTCACCTGGGTCAGCAAGCAACACGTCACACCAGCTGCTGCACTGGCTGGGAGGGGACAGGCAGTGAGGTGGGGACACAGGCCGAGGTGGGCTCAGAGGCACCTACTCCTTAAACTTATTGGTCAGGAGCAAGAACTGGCTTCGAGTGAGCCGTCTGACATCGAACTTGCAGAGGTTCTGGAACTCGCTGTAGACTTGTTGCTCACTGAGCCCAGGCCACCTCCTGACGGTGAGGATGAGGATGGGCGGCCGGACACTGGGGTAATCCGGGCCTGTGAAGTTCTAGGAAACATGAACAAAAGAGACTTCCCGCAATTGTTACTACATCGCACATGGCTGAAAATGCTGCACCGGAGGAGCGAAGGCTCTGACAGGGGCTGGGAGCAGGGGGGGGGCGGCGAGGTCAGGGGGGTTTTGGTGGAAAAATAAGAATAAAAAGAAAGCTTTTCGGGGTGTGGACACCTCCAGCTCTTACTTCGGTGCCCTTGAAACCCCGCTAGCACATCCCTGGGGACACCAGCCCACCTCCCACCATCAGCTGAGGTGACTGAATGAAACCTACTCACAATTTTAGGGACCCCCGCTCGGATAAGATTCACTTGATTCACATAAGGAGCCAGCACCTCGAGGTACTGCGGGAAGGAGGGCTCAGACGTGGAAACATCGCTACACAGACAGAGAAGTCCCAGGGCGCTCAGGCACACGAGCGTTTATTCACATTTCCTCAACCACAGCTACAGAACTGGTGACAGAAGGGGGCTACTGCCCGAGCCACTCTCCCTTCGACCCCTTGTGAGTCCCGAGCTTTTGTCACGGGGCTTCCTCCAACCGGCTGAAGTGCCCTCTCAAGAGCCCGAACAGAAGCAGAGTTTCTGGAGAGTCACCACCCATGGTTTGGGGCAGTTTGGGGACAAGCCCTCTTCTGACCAGCACTGCAACAGGCTCGAAACAGTCGAGAGGCTGCTGTCTGGAGGAAGTGCCACTTTATTATCCCTTGATGCCATGTCACCCTTGATTCTAAATGGTCACCCCTTCCCCAGAGTCTCATTCGGCCACAGCCCCCCTCTGTCCAGGTACCACCCAAGTTCAGGTCCTGAGAGCAGCTCAAGCCAGGGCATCGGCCAGGCCTGAAGCCATGGACCTCTCTAAAGCCAGCACTGCTTCTAGGTCATGAGGACCAATGAAAACACAGGGTGAAAGGCCCCAGGCCAGCCATGGAGGGGCTCTGCCGAGGTCAGCAACCTCCCTACCCAGCACATTACCACCTGCCACCTACCAGTGGGCACTGAACACTATCAAACTGCAGGAACAAGGGAGACGGCTGGCGGATTTCTCACATAAGTCATAAGCCTTACATCAATGTGCCACAGAATATTTGTATTTATCATACCACTGCCCAAATTGGCAAACACAGGCAGTAGTTCCTAAGACGTCCTGAGGAACAGGTTACAGCTGTGATTAGCTCCTTCACCAGGCCTGCTAAGTGCTACAAACATCCAGCCCTAGGACAATGCTGTAGGACATGTGTGTAAAATGTGCATTTGGTTCTGGTGTATCATGTGCTGGAGGAATCAGGGATGCTCTGGGGTACCGTACTCCAAATCACTGTCTTTGCCCCACCTGTGTGAACCCCAACGATGTTCAGCAGCCTGAACTCCTTGTCCTCCTCCTTTGCTATGAGTTACAGTTTCAAGGACATATGTAGGTAACTGATAGGGAAACACACCAAGCCTGACATAACTGAGGCAAGTATTATTTATTATAACCCACATTGAAGCCCCCTGCTTGGGTCCCCTGACATCAGTGAATTCTCCCAACTCGAAGACAAGGAACAGAAGCCATGACCCACCCAGAAAGCAGTCAGGGGTGGTGGGACAGGGCCCCTAGGGACGAAGCCCACACGTCTGCAGCCCCTATGCTGACTGCTGCCCAGGTAGAGGCATGATATCTACCCATGTGACATGGCAGCTTCTCTTTGGTGACTGTGGGACCCAGGAAGTCTTGGCTAACAAGCACTCATTAAGTCCTGACTGTGGAATGAGCAACAGGATGAAAGGAAGAGACACTCACCCATGTATTCTTTGTAGGAGCAGGTGCGCCACTTTCAAAAGAACTGGAAAGAAAAGCTAGAGGTGTAATAGCGTGGACCCTAATTTCCTGTTAGGCTCAACCCAACATGAAGTAAACAAGAACCTAGGGACAGCAACGGCTTAACACCAATGAAAGTAGGTCTCCTCTAAAAGGGACCACAACTCTTACCTGACCCACACAGGAAGGCATCATAGCCTGCTTCATGGGGATACTTGGTCTTGGCTGAAGCATTTCCCCAGACATAGGAGAGACAGTGAGCAGCTATTAGAAACGGCCTGGGGAAAGGAGCCCTCTCCCCAGCATAGATCAATGTTCATGGCAGCAGCAGCACACATGGCCGCCAGTGCTGTGTGCCCCGCTTTCTGCTCACAAGTCAGTTTGACCTCATCCTCCCCAAGTGAGGAAGCCCCACAACCCAGAGCTTCCTGGCAGGCTAGACCCCACACCAAGGAGGAAATAGGCAGCTCCTGGCCTTGACATGATCTGTGATGGCCCATCTAGGAGGCAGGAGTGTGGGGAGCAGGGCAAGGAAGGCAGTGGAGGGAACCCGTGTATACTCCCATGGCCTGCCACCCAGGGCACCGGGGTCCAGAAGTCCTCAGCTCAGCCCACGGGGTGGGAGGGGACATACCATACTTCTCACATTTGTTTCCATGAACAATCACTGGTGCAGAATCCTTGGTGGGATTCAAGTTACTATTAGAGAAACAAAGTAAGACAAACAATCCTTTCTTACTCTCTTCCTAGCCCCTTAAATTATAAACGTATGTCCTCAGCGTGTGTGTACACACAACACATATATTTGCACATTCAGACACACGTGCGTGTACATATACATACACACACTTTTGTTCTTTGCAGTACTGAGGATTGAACCCAGGGCTCTTCACACTATATCCCTGGATCTTTTTATCTTATTTTGAGATACAGCTCAGGATGGGCTCAAACTTGGGAGACTCTTGCTTCAGCCTCCCAAAGTTCTGGAACTACAGGAATTTGTCACCACACCCAGTTAGCACATACATTTTTAAAAGCCACAGCTCTAGACAGGGACAGATATGGTCTTGATAACTAGGCAATAGATCAGGTGAAAGATTGGCTATGTGAAATAAATAAAAAATTTTTTAAAGGATCAGCTATGCAAAATGCTCCAACTGGACCATTCTGGGCATTTAACAAACTCGTAGCCTGAGCCCAGGCACCAAGACAAACAGGACACTACCTCTGCTCTCCAAATTTGCTGTCTAACGGCCTGAGTGACAAACATATATTGTGTCTGTGTCCGGAGAATACAACACCTGAGCCTCCGACAGCGACTCCACAGCCCTTGGGGCTAAAGGCTTCCTCAAGCAGGGAGTACTAAAGCAGAGGCCCAAGCCACAGGAACTCACCTAGCTGAGTAACAGGGTAATGACAGGCATTTCAAGCCAAAGCAAGGATGGGCAGTGACAGGAAACAGACCTAGGCCTGACCAGGGAAGCATGGTCAAAGCCTCACATGAAAAGCAGGCCCAGGCCAGGGAGGAGCTCCTATGACAAGAGGGGCTGCAGGAAGCACCAAAAGATCTGTCCATGAAACTGCCCAGATAGTTTCAAAGATCACATAAGTGGCAGTGTGGGAAATAAAATAGGACAGGACATCGGCTGGGATATCCGTGAGGGCTGCCACCATGACTGGAACAACAGCAATGCCTCTGAACATGCAGAGAAAGGGAGAATGCAGAGGTTTCTGGAATAGCAATTTTGGCTTTTTTGTGGTTTTTGTTGTTTTTTTTGTTTGTTTGTTTGTTTTCCTTTGTGGTGCTGAGGATCAAACCTACAGCCTTGTCCATGCAAGGCACTGAGCCACATCCCCAGGCCCCATTACTTGGACTTAACTGACAAATACATCTTGAGACCATCTGGCTCTGGGACAGCAGGGATGGTGACAGCACCCAAGAATAAAAATCTCCCTGTCTCTGCCTTACCACAAAACCTCTCAGAACTCTGGGGGCTGAGTCTCTCCGAGCCCTACATTTCTCTTCTGTAAAGCAGGTCTGATGACTGCACCTGTGCATAAGGCATAAGTAGCTGCAAGCATCACAAAGGTCATCTAAAAGAATGGTGGCCAAGTCATCTGCAGTTACACTAGGAATCCCACCACTGAGGAGGCTGAGGCAGAAGCTTGCCTGGCTACGTAGTGAGATCCCGTCTCAAAAAACAAAATACAAATGTAACAGTGACAGCCTCTGCTAACACTGAATGAAATGGACTAAGAGCAAGGCTTTGTTCTAAGTCCTCCCACAGGGACAAATCCACCTAAGCCTTCAACAGCTGTGAATTACAAAGGGTTTTGTTCTCCTGTCTTGCAGAGGGTGAAACTGAAGCAGAGAGATCATACCATTTTTTCAAGGTGACTCACTAAACAAATGAGTGGCAAAGAAAAGAAACGAAAAGAAAACTTGGTCTCTCTGGTCCCCACCCCATGAACACATGGTCCCAGGAGTTGTGCCTGAGGACCAGAAAGGCTTAGGCACATGTTCTAGACACTGGCATGGGCTTGTGGGACACAGGCAAATGTCCAGCTGAAGGTTCTTGCAGGTGACAAGAGGGCAGGATCACCAAGGGGTCCCTGGACACAGTAAGGAGCAGAGGAAGGTCGAAGAGGGGGCTCAAGACAGAAGTGAAGAGATGAGGAGAGGGACACATAGGAACAGATGAGAGACTCCACCCATCCTACCCGCAACAAAAAAAATTCAGGAGGGCAGCTACACAGACCAGGGCTGCAGAGCACTTGGCCCTACCCTGTTCTGAACCCCTTTCAGCTATCACCCTGATGGTTAGGAGACAGGTAGGTGTGTGAATGGCAGCCAGGCAGGGGGCAATTCATCCAGGGCAAGAAATCCCGATGGTGAAGGTTAGGCTCGCTACCAAGAGCAGAGCTATAACCGTATCTCCAGGCAACAGAAGCAGACACCTCCCCACTGCCTCCCTCTCCTGATCACAGATGTAGCAACCAGCTCAGTCTCCTACCCTAGCACATGGCTTCCAGTACAGACCCCTGCCCCACTTTTGCACGGTAATGGGGCCTGAACCCAAGGCCTTGCACTGAGGTGTAACCCCAGCACTTTTTTTTTTTTTTTTTGGAGACACAGTCTCATTAAATTGCTGATTTTCTGAGGCTGAGTTTTAACTTATGACTGTCTCTGCCTCCCAGAGTTCTGGGATTACAGGTATGCACCACCATGCTTGGCTTGGTTTTTAAGTGTTGGAGCTGAAAAAACTGAGGGGGAGACTGAAGACCCCAGGGTAAGGCAAGGGGGGCTGGAGGAGGTCAGGGGTCCTGCCCACCTGGCTCACACAGAAGGTACCTCTGTTTGCTTGTGACAGAAGAGATAAGAAAGATGGCAGAAGAACAGGGCAGGGAGCTGAGAGACTCCTGCCTCCGGCCTCTTCCTCTCTTCTGGGAAATGGGGCCCGAGGGCTGCCTGGTCTGAGCACAGGTGCAGCACCCAGCACGCCCAGCCCTGCTGCAGAAGCGCCCCGAGAAATACCCCCTCACCTGCTCAGCACCTCATATACTTCCAAGAGGTTGGAAACCCGTGGGAAATGCAGTTCCTGCAATTATAGAAAACAAATCAGGGAGAACAAAACATTTGTGTTTCTGGCCATCATCTACTTTCGGTCTTACCAAAGACCTAAAGTAACCTGGACAATGCTGGCTCCTGTAGGCTTCTCTTCCTCTTCGCATATCTCGCCCACTGTTATTCCTTAATTACAGTGTCAAGGAACCCACACCCTAGGCGCCCTAGAAGGGTTCCCTGTGCCAGGCGGGAGTGAAGTGCCACCAACACAACATACACCGTCCCTCTCAGCAGACAGGGTTAAAGGGTTCCGCAAACACAGGAATCAGAGGCACTGAATGGGGACTGGGGCAAGTCACAGGACACGTGGGATGAAAGGGCCATGGGAGAGTCACTGAGCCTCAGGAGTTTGGCACAGCCAGAAATACATGGAACACAAATATGAAAAGCTCCCTTGCTCCCATCTGCTGGCTCCCTTCTTGAATAACCCATTCTAGGTTCTTACTGTAAGTGTTTAAAACACTGATCTGAGTCCTTTCTCTTTTCTTGCTTCTAGGCAGCATTTAAAGCAGCCGGGTCCTTTCTCCACATATAGTGTACAACCCGACGACACCAGAATCACACGGGGACTGTCAGAACACTGCCTGGCCCCCTCCTAGACCCTACCCTAACACACAGTGGAGACAGGTGGACTAATGGGCCAGTTTATAGCTCCTTGGGGTTTTTCACGCACTGTCAGGGTGAGAACCCACGACTATGGCACAGGTGACACTTCTCGACACTTTCCAAGGGGGACCTGACCCTGGTGCTCTGTAGGCACGTCCAAAATGTTCACAAAAAATGCACCAAGCTCCAAAATAAAATGTTCCATTGTGCCATGTGAAGCACAATTACATACAAACAACTCAAAACCTGGGAACTTGAATGAGGGAGAGAAAAAAATCATATATAAGCTAATATGATGACCCGCAGGTGAAAAACATGAAAGGAAATTGATTCCGTTTTGGTTTTGCTGTGTTTTGTATGGTTTGGGTTTTTTTTAGACAGGGTCTTGCTATGTAGTTCGGACCTTAAACTCATGGCAGTTCTCCTGCCCCAGCCTCCCAAATTCTGGGATTACAGGCATCCACCACTATGCCTAGCTAATCCCAGTTTTATAAGAGAATTCAAAGAGAAATTAGAGCAAGAGAAAGCACTAAGTGTTCCAATATGCAAAAGAGCAGTCCTTACCCCAAAGTAAATTCTATTCATTACCTTCCAGATATCCTTTGTAACATTCTTGGTGTCAATAAGAACAGGAAATAGGTTGTGGATATTCTGTTTAAACTGATCATAGCTTTCTGAGGAGAAAGATTCAAATAGTAAAAAGTGAGTTAGTTTGTTGGTAAAAGTGGGAAAGAACCACTTTCTACCCTTGCAGACAAAACAGAAATTAAAAGCATCCTAAATCCTAACTGTCAAGGATTTCAAATCTGAAAACAAGCTGCCATCACCACGTCTAATGGTACAGGCCAGTGGTTTTCTATTAAACTCAAGATATTTCATTGCCAACATCAGCTAATGCAGTGTAAGAAACTCCAGCCAATGGGATGCAAGAGGGAGAGACAGAAGTAAGAAATGGAGCAACAGATCTGTCCTTACCTGGGAGGGGTCTGAAGAACTTCTCATGGAGATGCAGCAGATCCATCATCATGTTATGCCCCACCAAGGGCTACTTGGAATAAATCAACAGGTGAGACAAATGAAATTTTAAAAATAATAAAGACAGACACCATCACCAGTGGTGATGAACCTATGGCACACATGCTGCAGTGGGCTGTTAGTATTGTTGAAAGCTCTAACAGGTTCGCCATCATTGCCATAGACTACTGGTAGTTTCTTACAAAGGATGTAGCTTCAGAGCCAACTGTGATTCTGGTCACCTGATAATTCCATCCTTAGTCTCACTCCCAGGTAAGGTGGCAGGACTGCTTAGAGGGGAGAAGGCAGGGAGGGGACAGAAGGGCTTCCAAACAGGGTCTGCAATGAGAATCTCAACTGTGTGTTCAGATTTCTTGTTTTCTTCTTTAAGTAGGGTCTCGATATGTAGTTCAGCCTGGCCTTGAACCCAGGGTGATTCTCTTGCCTCATTCCCCATGCTGGGATTACAGACATGTGCCACCATGCCCAGTTAAGAATCTACACTGTGAAACAAATATATGTGGTTCTCCCAAATAGTTTTAGGTAATTAGTGTTGAAATCCTTGTGTTACTGAAAGGGACAAAGAAAGTAATATTTCACATGTATAGTCCTTTGCCAAATTAACCCATTATAAAAAAAAAAAGCATTGCCTTGCTGGGGATATACTCAGTGGCACAAGCACCTGCCTGGCAAACACAAGGTCCTTGAGTTCGATTCCTGGTACCAAAACCAAAACAAAACAAAAGAACAAATTAAGCCATCATTTGGTAAAAATGAGGTTAGGACCATGAAGCCAGTTATCAATAAGAAGGAATCACTCATTTTAAGAAATCTAGGGGCTGGGGATTTAGCTCAGGGGCACAGCGCCTGCCTGGCAAGTGCAAGGTCGTGAGTTTGATTCCCGGTACTGGAAAAAAAAAAAAAAAAAAAAAAAAAAGAAATCTAATTTTACTGTTAAAGGACCCTTCAACACCTACAGCCAGAAATACAAAGGACAGTGAAATCTAAGAAAAAGCTGTTTTTCCCTACCTTCTGGGCTTGCACCAGCATCTGGAAAAAGACAGAAAAACCCCTTGCAGAGAGAAGAATCTGCTCCTTCCAACAGCTGTCTCGATCACCAGAGGCGTGCTCAAGGTACCAGCGATGCTGCTGGCTCACCTTCTTCACTATCACCTGAAATAAAAGAACAGAGGAATGGTCCAGAACCTGGGTTACTGGAAATCAAGTCTAGAAAAAGGCTCTTTGTCTCAAAATGAAAGGAAGAAAACAGGAACAGGTGAGAGAAGCCTTTCACAGGGGGCACATAAGGCTGAATGAGAGGCGATAGAACTGCTAAAGACGCCCATTCCCAGGAGCAAACTCACCCCCTGATCTCTCAGCACTGTCCAGATGTTGGGCAGGGCCTGCCTCAGCACCAGTTGCACCTCAAAGGCCTGGAACCCTGCCCAAGGAAACACAAAGCATACACAGACCTGTAGCAGCAATGCACCTTCTCCATGAGAGAAGCCTGAGAATAGAAGCTGCCAAGACGCTGGAAGACGAAGGTACTGTGTGGAAAGGCAGCTCTCAGGGATCCCGAGCCTGTGAGCCACATGATGTCACATGGCCTGTCACTGTGTTCCAGGGCAGCATTCTCAGTTTCTCATCTCAGGGACATTCAAGTAGGGGACTGCAAAGACTTCTGAGTATAGGTTTTAAAATTTTCAATTTTTAAATTTATGAAAAAACGATTTTCCAAAAAAACAAAATTAACCGGAAGAGTGACACAGTGCCAGGCATAGTGGCACGCGCATGTAATTGCAGCTAACAGAGGGAGAAGAATCACAAGGTCAAGGTCATGCTGGGCACCTTAGAGACCTTGCCTCGAAATAAAAAGTAAAAGGGGCTGGAGATGTAGCTCAGGGCTAGAGTGCAGCCTGGGTTTCATCCCCAGCACTGCAATTTTTTAAAGTGTGACATTGTTTCACATTTTTGCACCTAGCTGAAATCACATCTGCTTTTGTATTTAAGCTGCTAATCTTCTGTGATATGCTGTGGTCACTGAAGTATATAGAGAAAACTCAAATATATAGATGGGTAAATGGACAAGGGAAGAGGTAATAGCCTTATCAAATGGCTTTTGAGTGTTTTTAATACTATGTAAATTCAACACATGGTAGTTTTAAAGATTGGCTGTTCTATGCAGTCTAAACCCATTACTAGTAAACTTTCTAGCACTGTAACATTAAATCTTACCGGCCTATTCCAGTTCTCAACTCAAAAAAATGCAAAATGCTTTTTTTCAACAGAAGCACTGAAGCAATGTTGTTGGTATACTTCTATTTTTTCTATACTTAAATTGACACAGAATATTTAAACAAGGAGAACTCAAAAGTGAAGACTTAATAAAACTACGAGTTATAACTTCCTCACCAAGGAGGTTAAACTGGCTTTTTTAAAAAAAAGTCAGGAGTGGTGGCACACGCCTGTAATCTCAGCACTTGGGAGGCTAAAGCAGGAGGATCCTTGCAAGTTCAAGACCATCCTGGGCTACAAAGTGAGCTCAAGGCCAGCCTGAACCTCATAGCTAGGCTCTGTCTCAAAGAGATAAACAAAATACATACATACATGCATACATACATACATACTGAGAATGGCAACAAAGAATGCAATGACTACCAGCATAATTTGATGCTCCTAGGAAATTTGGTTCTTGCTAAAATGCTAGCAGGTTCAATCCCCATCACTACAGGACCCAGGAAAATGCTGCAAAGACAACAGCACGTCAATGGGTCTCAGAGACCAACAAGGTCCACAGGCGAGGCTCTGAGAACTGCCACAAGGGGACACGTGTGGGGGGTGGGGGGCAGGGATTAACAAAAGGCAGTAACAGAAAGCACTCAGGAGGAATCCAAAGGATGGCTCCTGAATGATCTTGACTTCCTTCCTTTGAATTTGCTTTGAAATTCAAAGTAAGCTGAAAAGGCTTTGGATTTTGAATTCAGCTCTGCATTATGTAGCCTAGGACTGGGTGTCTGCTGAGAAACACTGGCATCAGACTCAACAGATGTTATGTGGGGCCAGGACCTGTAGCTAATGTGTCCCCGGGTTCTGGTACATGACATGACCTGCCCCATGTTCCCATACTGGGAGGACAGCCTGCTCCCTACCAGTGATACCAGGCAGAGTCATCTGGTCACCTTCCTCGGCCAGGTCCAGCCACCTCGTCACCTCATCAATCACCACCTTGACTTGGTCTTTATCCAGAGAGCTGAAAATGGGCATATCATAGTGGAAATGTTGGAGAAAACCACCCCCAGAATCCTAAAGCAATCTTAACAGAAGAAGTTTCAAGACCTGCTAGTTTTATCATTGTGATCTCATAAAAACTGACCCCAAAAGGTCAATTGTTCTCCAGGTCTTTTCATGCAGTAGAAAGGTAAACCTTGGCCTATCTTTTTTGCAGGTTCCCAGGAATTCATTCAATCCCTGTCTGCTCTGCTGAGGGTAGAGAAGAAACGAAAGAAGGCTCTAGCCAATACTAAGCAGTACTATCAGAATCATTTCTACACAGCTATCGAAGGGGTAGAGTACATGTACCAGCCTGGAACAAAAGGAGAAAGGCAAGGGCTTTGTAAACCTTCTCCTGTGTCAGAGAAGAATATTCTGTTAGGTTGAGATCTACCTTTGAAAACAACAGAAGATTAAAAATTCAAATTACTAGCCGGGCATGGTTTCACATATTTGAAAGCCCAGCACTTGAGAGCCTGAGGCAGGAGGAGGACCACTACAAGTTCGAGGCCAGCCTGGGCTACATAGCAAGTTTGAGGCCAGCCTGGACTACACAGTAAGACCCTGTCTCAAACAACCAAAAAAATAAAAAGTCAAATTTCTGCCAGGTCTGGTGGTACATGTGTATAATCCCAGTTACTTAGGAAGCTGAGGCAGGAGGACTGCAACTAGGCCAGCCTGGGCAACTTAGCAAGACTCTATCTTAGTAAAAATAAAAAAGAAAGGGCTGGGTAACTCAGTAGTAGAGCAGCCCTGGGTTTGATCCCCAGTACTGACAAAAAAATAAACAACATAGTTTTTCCCTTACCAAAAAGAAAAAAAACCTGTATTTTTATATGAAAACTAGCATCAAGGATTGGTGGGGGTGGGGGGAAGAAGTCTGAACATTATACAAGATCATTATCTGGACCAAACTGTGAATCATATTTCAGAGTTAACAGCTGTTTAATTTATTCCCTTCCCAGTAAAGGCAAAAAATCTAAAGCCCAAAGAACTTAAATGACTTCAAAACCAACAATTACTTGATAGTACTGATGGCACTGGACCCTGAACCCCTGGCTCCATTTGCCACCCGATACTACGGTCCTCACTTGTCACTCCTGCACAGGCAGCACAAAGCTGCAGGACCCAGGCCTAGCACAGGGGCCAAAGAAAAAGGGGGCACAGATGAGTCTCCCACACAGGGTCAGGTATGCTGGGCTGCAGCAGGCTAAAGCCTATGCCCTGCATGACTGGTACGTCAAGGTTATCTGTGAGTGACCCTGCAAAGCCCTCAGAAGGCCACACTGGAGCCCAGCATAACATCTTCTAGCAAGTCCAACAGGGCTGTTTCCCCCAACCCCAGCACTAGAATGAACTCCTGTGTCTTTGAGTAACAAATTAAGAATTAATCTTTTTTTTATTTTTAAACACTAGAAACCCCACTTAAAGCAGTGAGAGGTTCACATGAGAGAGGAAAGAATGGACGATCCAGGAGGTCATTTCTTACCTCAGCAACAGATGGATCCCCCACAGCACAGGCCTTTAGGTCTGCCAGAGCACAGGTGGCCAAAGTGTAGAGCGTACAAGGTCACCACACTCTCAGACCCAGGAGATGAAGGAAGCACAGAAAACACGGCAACAGAGAGACGAGTAAGAAAGAAGCCCTACCTGCGAACTTTCCAGTTCCCTGTCAGGATACTACGCTTAATTTTCTTCTCCTGTTCTTCATTCATATAGGGGATTCCCTTTTTGAGAAACTAGAGACAGGAAGAGAACAAGTGAGACGCGGCCTCTGAGGCAAGGAGCCTGAGTGAAGGAAAGCACTTGGTTTCCCAGGAACAACTAAGAAAGAAGGTAGGAAACAGGCAGTGTGGCCAGTGTGATGAGACTCGAACACACTCGGCCCCCTCTCAAACACAGTACCTTGTTATAGTTGAAGCCATATTGATTCAAAAACTGAACACTAGATGCCTGGAAAGAGAATTCTGTGTCCAAAATCCCAAATGTTGTAGGAAAGAGAAAGAAGTTGTACGAATGGGCTATAAACCTATTAAGAAAAAGAAAAACATAAGGAGATTAAAAGCAGTTAAAAACTAAATTAAAAATTAAAAACCAAAACAAAACAAAAAATCCCCTCTGGCTCATGGAGCAGGTTTCAGTGGGCTCTTTTTTTCATCCAGGAAGGACTTGAATGCCTACAGTCTTTCAAGTCCTGGCCAAAGGAAAAAGGCAGCGCTCTTACCCTTGGGGAACACGGTCTGTCACAGAGATGGGCCCTCAAAAATACCTCTGCCTGCACTCAGTCCCCCTCCACTGCTGACAGATGGGAGCTGAAGCCACCCCAGCTAAGCAAAGATGACACAAGGTCACCACAGAAAACACAGCAACAAAGAAAACAGGACACAGGAGGAGAAACAGGCCCTACGCACTGGCCCAGCCCCTCAGACGGAACATTCTTCTTGACGGCCAGGACTTGTGAGCAAACTGCTTTCACAAAGTTGCACAAGGGCCCACTGAATGGAGAGCAGAAGAAAGATGCAGGGCAGGGGTGGTGGGGAAAGAACCCACAAGAAAGGTCCGGCTTGGAGGAAAACCGGGAGGATGAGCCAGAATCTGCAGAGGATGGAACAGGTGAAGAGACAGAGGGGGACAGCACATGCAGCATCAATCGCAAAATGACTCAGATGCCCAGGAACGACCAGAAGGGGGCAGCTGTACAGCACACCTGGGCAAGAGTTGTATGTTGTGCAAAAGCTCTTTATACATACATGTTTGACTCTTCTTCAATACTGGAGAATACAGACAATCCTAGAAGAATGAAAACAGAAGTAATGAATGCCGAGGAAAAGCTACGTGAAGTTAACCACGAAGACAAAACATTTCCAACAGTGCTTTGTATACAGGTACTGTGTGGGTTGTAGAACAAGAAAGCATCCTCTGGAAAAGCAAAAGGACAGACTTGAAGTATGACAACCGTCAGACTGAAATTTGCATTGAAATTACTAAAACGTAACTGTTTCTTCAAACACAGAAATCTTGACATGTTCATAGTTTAAGTAACCAGCAGAAACACCAAAAGCCAAGAAGTAGAAAATTTTGAAACTTAACTGTTTATAATGCCTATATTACTAAAAAAGATCATACCCAAAGTAAAAAATATTTCAAAATGTGAGAACAGAAACATAACTAGGAGCCATTTCCTATACTTCTCAAAGAAAAATAAAATAATTAAGAAAAAGAGACACAACAGAAAAAACAGCAGAGGACTAGGGTAGAAAGGAAAATACACATACACTTGTGAAAAAGTGTTCAGAGTCACTCATAGTAAAAGAGGTCTGTACAATGTGACTTATGCTCTTCCTGTAAATAACATTTTATTGCAATAGTCATGATAAATGGTTTATATACTAATGACAGCTGATTTCCCAAAAGCAGGACTGAGTACGTAGTTGTAACAGAAATCACATTTCCAGCAAAACCTAAGATATTTCCTTCTAGTTGTTTACAGAAAAAGTTGTTGCCCCTCCAAAAAATTGTTGGCCCTGTACTATAAGATATAAGTCAGAAGAGCAATTAGATAATTTTTTTCCCTCTACTGGTTGGACAAAAAATTTTCAAATCAATAATACTAGGCGTTTGTTAGATTAATAGGTACATTCATTATTGTTAGTATAAACTGCTAAAAAATTTTTGGATCGTTAATAGGAAGAGGAGTAGTTTGGCAATGTACATCCAAAAAAAAGTGGTTTTGAACAGTGCTGGGACTCAAACCTGGGGACTCAAGCACACTAGGCAAGTACTCTATCATGAAGCTACATTCTCAACCAGTATACATTAATATACTAATGGACATACTCTGGAACTGCAATTGCATTGCTAGAAGCACCTAAAATGCAAATATTCACAAAAGTACAGTAATATATAAATTGTAAGCTAGTCAATGCAAATTTGTTTAACTGTACACAGACAGTTAAACAGAAGTATGAATTACTAAGGACTAAGTTAACAGATACATTCAGTTTGTAATAGTATACAACTGTTAAACATGAACAAATCTGGGCTGGGGGTGTGGCTCAACAGAATGCCTGCCTAGAACTCATGAGACCCTGTGTTCAAAATCCAGGACCAAAACACAAAACAAAAAATGAACAAGTCTGTATGTGCTGATATAGAAATATCTCTGGCCCGATCAGCCTTGTCAACTGGAGAAAAAAATCCCAAGATACAAAATATTCAGTCTTTTGTTTGTATAAATTTTCTTTTTAAAAAAAATATGTGGGCCAGGCGTGGGGGTGCATGCTTGTAATCCCAGCACTCGGAAGCTGAGCCAGGAGGACTGCCTGAGCTTGAGGTCATCCTGGGCCACATAAGTCAGTAGTTCAAGGCCAGCCTGCACTACACAGTGAGACCCTGCCTCAAAAAAACCAAAAGGAAACAAAAACAAAAACAAAAATATATGCACATGTTTTTACTTTACAGATAGAATAGATGACAGTGATTATTTCTTAACTCTTATTTAGCCACAGAAAATTCTGCTAAATTTTTCCACTTGCTTTAAAGTGCTGGTCCCATAAACATAATACAAAAAGATACCTGATGTCTTAAAAGTAATTTTTAACAACAAAAAACACAAAGACAATAAAGTGGGATTTTTTTTTGAGAAAGGGCCTCACTATGTGACCCAGGCTGATCTTGAACTCACTATGTAGCCCACGCTGGTCCCAAACTTGCTGAGATGTTTCTACTTCAGCCTCCTAAGTATTGAGATTATGAGCATGCACCACTACATACAGCTAAACAATAAAGTATCTTCTTGTGCAACTCATAAACATCTGAATATTAGACTCACCAATCTGACAGATTGTAAATTGCTGAATACTTTGTCGGGTCTTTAGGTACCAGTCAGAGGGCAAATCAAAAAGGCTGTGAAAAAAGATACATTGCATACCCTAAGCAAGGAGATCAGATCAGGGTGGAATTTTTTCCTTGTTACAGCAACTAGGAAACACCACTACCATTTAAGGACAACAGTTATGTCCCCCAATAGGTGGAAGCAACCCACACAAAATGCCCTTCGCCACAAAAGCCAATAGCATGTCAGTGAAGCAATGCTACCTAGTCAGGGTCTTATACAAAGGGGACCTGGGTGAGTCTCCTCTCTCTGGGGTCCAGACAGCTTTAGCTTTACCTGATCTGCTGGAGCGTGGACAGGTTAGAACGAAGTCCAGTGAACTCTATGTCCAGACCTGCAAGGGAGGCAACAAATACAGTCTCCAGGTGCAGAGCATGCCACCACTCTACACTGAACAAGGAGGGATCAAATTATGAGGTGTTGCTGGGCATGGTGGAGCCCTCCTGGAATCCTAGCACTCAGGAAGTTGAGGCAGGAGGATCACTGTGAGTTCCAGGCCAGCCTGGGTTACATAGTGAGTTCAAAGTCAGCCTGAACTACACTGCGAGACCCTTCCTCAAAAAAAAAAAAAAAAAAAAAAAAAGTGTTTAAATAAAAATTATTACGAGGGGCTGGGGATTTAGCTCAGCGCCACAGCACCTGCCAGGCAAGCCTTGCTGTCGTGAGTTCAATTCCCGGCACCAGAAGAAAAAACAAAAACAAAACAAAACAAAACAAAACAAAAATTATTACAGTTCTTTGTGTCTTTACAAGGTGTGGTTGAAAATACATACAGAAACATACGTACATACTGCGAACGCTGCTGCCAGATGCCATCCCCTATAGAGGTTGGCTCAGCGCGAGTGTGCCCACGTCCACCCTACTCTCTCGACATGGCACCTGGGAGACGTCTGGCTCTTCCCCGACTCAAAGCGACCTGGGAGGTCAACGCTTCGAATCAACTGCGGACACTGAGGCAGCTACCCTAGCGCATTAGAGCTGCTGCGGAAAAGGCCGTGCAGAATGCTTCAAGACAGCGGCAAGGACCAAGGACGCGGCTCAGGCCGCACCGGGGGCGCGACGCAGCGCGCCCTACGGCCATCGTCCCCGACATCCCCGAGTGGCGGCGGGGCGGCCGCCGCTCTCTGCGCTCCAGGAGCCGGCGGTCGAGGCCGCAAGCCGCGAACTGAAGCCGCCGGCCGCCGGGTGCCAGGCGCGGAGCGGCTGCGGCTCCAAGAGCCCGGGCCCGGCCGCCCTGGCGCTTAACGCCCGCTTCCAGCCCAGAGCCCCCTCCGGGCCAACGGCCCGCAACCACCGCTCCGCGTTTACCCACGAAGTCGGCCTCCCGGAGCAGCTTCTGCAGCAGCGGGAGGCTCTGCTCAAACTCGTCGGCGCCCACGTCCATGGCGGCTCGCGGAGGCGCCGGCGCGCGCTGCCATCCACTCGCCGCTTCCGCCTGCCTCGGCCTCGCCGGCCTTAAAGGGCTCGCGCACGCTGGCCTGGGCCCCACCCCACGCCTGCCAGTGGTCTGCAGCTTAACGATATCCCCAAGGATGAAAGGCGCGTGTAATCAAGGGCTGCCTGCTGGGCTGAGGACGTCCTCTGTGCCCCGGGACGCCCTACCCTCCCACTCCTGGCGGAAATCCCTGTGTACGGCATGGGTCAGGGCGATCCTGGTCACTAGCCCGGCAGCTTCCTTTCAAGCCTTCCTTTCAATTCTAGACTTCTATTTGCACAGCTTACTGGTGCTCCAAACAATATTTAAAGGGAAAGAAGGAAAAAAATTAAAAAGCTGCTTTTAAGTGCCTCTAGTGGGATATTTATTAGTAGAGGGCTGTTAAGATACCGGATGCTGCCGGGCGTGGTGATGCCGGTAATCCCAGCACTAGGGAGGCTGAGGCAGGAGGACCGTTGGGAGTTCGAGGCCAGCCTGGGCTACAAAGTGAGCTCAAGGCAGCCTGAACTGCATAGCGAGAACGTGTCTCAAAAAGACATAAAATATATAAATAAATAAATAAAGATACCAGATGCCGCAGCCTCACAATCAGTCACACCTTTTAAAATACTGGTGCATATGTATAGACTTGTGTCATCTTTGTGCAGGGGTCACACTAATCCTGTACCCTGTACCTTGCCGATTTTAATACGTATTGCTGAAGCCAGCACAAAAGTTGTGTCATCTTTGTAAAATTGAATAGTCAGATTGTCAACAAAAATCTGTTTCATTTCTAAATAAATGTATAAACGAAGTATTTTAAAAAGACCTCTAAAACCTACCTCAAGTGCTTACACATTCTTACATTTATCAAGTTAACCCCATACTTTAACCAAGGCATTTCAGAGAGCCACCGTGGTACACATCTCCCCAAGCACCAATGTTAGGTTAACCTGCAGGCCTTTCTGCCTTCCCCTCTGACTTAATTACAATTCTCACTTCACGGCAAGCTGAAGCCACACTACCCTCAGTCCGTGTCCACTTCCACTTGCAGTGCTTCCTGGCTCTCTTCTCCTCTGCTTACCTGCAGCGGGAATTAAGAGCCACAGGAGCTTAGCATTCATCTTTATCTTCACATACTGTTTCTAAGTTTAAACTAACACTGACAGCACCTGTTTAAAAAACAAAAACAGCTGGGCATGGTGGCGCACACCTGTAATCCCAGCACTAGGGAGGCTGAGGCAGGTGGATCACTGTGAGTTTGAGACCAGCCTGAAGAGTGAGAACCTGTCTCAAAAAGACAAAAAATAGTCCTACACCTTGAACAGCAAACAACTCACATTTACAGAGACCCCCTCACCATAAGCCACCCTTGACTAATATGTTTTACAGACCTTACATGTGTACCCTGCTTACAGGCAAGAAATTTCATACAAGCAGAAGGTAAGTTATTATGCCTTTATTTTGTAACTTACAATTTTAATTTGTCCCTTCCAAAGTTATAATTGATGATGCTTTCCTTAGATTATGTCCTTCACATCCAAAAATGGGGAAGAACTTAGCCCTTGATTAAAAAACAAAACCACATACTGGTACACACACACCAAACCTGACTACAAATAATCTTGCATTGTTACATTATTGCTATGAAACTTCCAGGCTGCTTTTTCCTCCAAGATGCTTTCTTTTGATGGCCATGGTAGTCAATAGTTTTACATCTACACAACATTTAATGCCTCTATTTCACTCATAGATTCTCCGAGGTTCCTGTAGCACCACACCACCTTCTGCCATGGCACTTTGTAAGCATTTTATCTGGTTTCAAAGATCAGAAACAAAAGAAAAGATTAAGTCAGCACACATTTAAAAGATTAAAGCTACAGATAAATAAGTTCACTTTTCAAGAGATAATGAAATAAACAATTGATCTGCTCTCGCTAACCTCCCAGGCTACACTGGTTTTTTTCGGAAAGTGATCTCAAAAATGACCTAGGTGAGAAAAAGGGAATTGACAAATAATCAGCAGAGTTTTAAAATACTTGGCAAGGACACCAGTATATAAATAGGAAGTACAATAGTTGACATTATGGTCTAAAAAGAAATCACTCTGAATTTGAAATCCACCACACACTGACTCTGATCTGTTTATGTATAGAATGGGAATACTAGTCCCTACTCTGTGGGTTGCTGTGAGAATTAAATGAAAATAATGCTGTCATAAACTCACCAGGCTCTAACAAATAGAAATCACTTGGAAACTATTATTATCTGAGTATTTAACATTAAGAATAACAAAGTACCTTTTATATGTTTTTAAAATTATTTTGCAGCACTGTAACACAGGGTCTCATGTAAGCTATGCAAGTGCTCTTCCACCAAGCCGCACCCATAGTCCTCCAATGCCCTTTAACTTTTAAGTACATGAAAACAAAAATACCGAGTCTGCAGCTGCTTCCCAAGGGGTTGGTTGGTAGACCATGAAGTTGATTCCTGCCTCTAAGCATCGCTGTGCCAGCACTCGTCCTATACTCTCACAAGCTACCACGTTTCTGGTACTATAAAGGTGCTGTCTAACAGCCCACTCACGCGTGGACGCTGACACCACAACCCGGCCATTCCAGTGCTCAACAAGTGCTTCCACATGATGCTGAGTCCTTACAACTCGCAACCTAAATGAGATGAGAATACAATCATAAAACAATCTATCCATCCCAAAGTTAAATTAAAGCAGATGAACAAATGCCTAAGTATTTCCCAAAAACTCAAGGTTTAGTTGATTTTACTTTGGATTATGAGACTATCTTCAATAATAATAAACCAAATATTTCACTTAACTTCAAGTATCAAAGAGAAACTTGGTATTTCTGAAAAGTTGAGTTTTACTTACTTACATGTATACGCCAAAAAAAAAAAAAAAAGACTTGAAGAGGCAGAGCTAAACTGCTGTGTGCTAGATAAATATACACTTTATACTTTTATTTCCCAGCTAACACCAAAATAAATATAAAGATTTCAATATAAAAACTGAAATTATAGGAATACTACAAGAAAACATGAGAATTTTTTAAATTATCTCAAAGGAAAGTAGACCTATTTAAGTAACACCAAACATGTCAAATGGCTTTTATACAAGATGGACACAATTTTCTGCATGGTAAAAAATAAGACAGTAAAGTCAAAAGATAAGCAATGAAGCTCTGGGTATACCTTCATGGTAGAGGGCTTGCCTGGTATGAACAAGGCCCCAGGTTCAATCCCCAGAACCACAAAAAAAAAAAAAAAGCAATGATAAAAGTATTTTAAACATATCTTTTTCAAAGGGCTAATTTCCACACTACATAAAATACCTTCTATCAGGAAAGGAAAAACACACACACACACACACACATATATATATATACACACACACACAATTGTACTTCTAATTTCTATTGGTTTATTGAAAGGAATAGTTAAATGTTTAATTGTTTTATCAGTCTTGCATGCCTATAACTGATAGTCTGAGCAACTACTTTGAATATAACAGTAAGTAATACAACCATTGTTAATTTCCTATCATCTTTTTTTGAAATTCTGTATAATTTTTTTGTTTTTGTGTTTTGTTTTTGTTATTTTGTTTTTGTTCTCTTTAAGATTAAAAAAAGGAAAAGAATGAAAATTTACAAAAAAACTTTCCATCATCAATAAGGAAATAACCAATAACTTAAGAGAGTAGGTGAAGAATTTGGTTTTTTGAGAAAGGGTCTTACTATACAGTGCAGGTTGGCCTTGAACTCACTGTATAGCCCAGGCAGGCCTGTAACTTGTGGCATTCTTCCTGCCTCAACCTCCCAAGTGCTGGGATTACAGACGTGCACCATCATACCCCACAAAGGATTTGAACAGTGTTCACAGAAAAGGAAAATATTAACAGCTTGTACATTCATGAAAATATACCCACTCTCAGAAATAAAATACAACGTCAAGGCAACTCATTTCAACACTGTAAACTAAAAGATAATCATCAACAGGGAGCCAGTTAACTAGAAATGTCCATAAAATCATATTCTACAGTTGGAATGTAGTACTTCACAACAATAGCTATTTACCAAGCATTCACTATATGTCATGTTTGTTCTAATTGTTTAAAGGTATATCTGAGGTCTCTAAACAATCACATTCTTCCACTTTTCTAAGCTGCAGAAACAGAGAAAAGTAAAGTGAATTGGGTAAGGTTATAGTTACTCAGTAATGAAACCGGGAGTTAAGGCTAAGAGTGGCTCCAGAGACAATGCTCTCAGCCACCACAAAGAGTCAAGGTGTGCTTTTAAGTGGATGCTTGCAGGAGACAGGGCTGGAGAAGGAAATTACAGGATGGTGCTCATGGATGATAACATGTACAGTTTTTAAAATATATTTATGATTTTATGTGTATTTCTAGAAAGATACACAAGAAACTATATTCCATTTTGAGTTTTATAACACATGTAAACATAGTTGACCCTCCATCTATAGATGCCAAATCCCTGGATTCAACTCATCACAGATGGAAAATATTTGGGGGAAAAACTGCATTTATATTCAACATGTAGAATTTTTTCTTTTATTATTCCTTAAACAGTACAGTATAATAGCTATTTACAAGGCACTTATATTGCATTAGATTTTGTGTTTATTTGTGTTTTTAGTTTTTGAGACAGTCTCACATCATAGTACAGGCTAGCCTCAAATTCAAGGAAAACCTTCTGCCTCAGCCTCCCGAACACTAGACTTACAGGTGTGTGCCATCACATTCACGTATTATAAGCAGTCTGAGGGGCTAGAGATTTAGCTCAGTGGCACATGTGCCTGCCTAGGAAGCGCGAGGTCGAGTTCGATTCCCGGTACTAGGAAAAATAAATAAATAAATAAGTAGTCTGAACATTGTTTGTTTTTTGAGACAGGGTTTTACTATGTAGTTCAGGCTGGCCTTGAACTCACTTTGTAGCCCATGCTAGCTTTGAACTCGCAGCCATCCTCCTGCCTCAGCCTCCCGAGTGTTAGGATCACAGGCATGTGCCACCATGCATGGCAAGACAGTTTTAAGTTATAGGAGAATGTGCATAGATTACATGCAAATGCTACACCATTTTATATAAGATACTCAAGCAACCACAGATTTCAATACCTTCTGGGGTCTTGGAGCCAATTCACCGTGGATACCAAGTGATAACGACATGATTTTTTCCCCCACTTTTAGGGTTTTATTTGGCACTGAACCTGGGATCTTGCACATATGCATACTACCACTGAGCTACACTCCCCACCTCTACATTTTTAAAAACTAAACCAAATTAAAGATAACACTCAAATGAGAAGATCCTCACTAAGAATACAAAATAGAAAAAGCGGGGCTGGGGATCTAGCTCAGCGACAAAGCGCCTGCCCGGCAAGCGCAACATCGTGAGTTCGATTCCCGGTACCGGAAAAAAAAAAATAGAAAAAGCATTAGGTTGCAATGGGGATTTTCCTGGTTTTGCTGGTGGCTCTGGTTAAAAAAAAAAAAAAAAAAAAACACCACACTCACTCATTTATTTAATTACTTATTTGTCTTTTTGAGACAGAGTTTAGCTACATAGCTTGCAGCAATCCACCTGCCTCAGCCTCCCGAGTGCTGGGATTCCAGGCATGGGCCACCATGCCCTGTAAAACTCACACCCTTTTAAAGGAAAAGTTGACAGCCTTTTTTCGTAAAGGGCCAAATAGTAAATATTTTAAGCTTTGTAGGCCATAGTCTGTATATACTGATCAACTCAGTCACCGTACTGCTAAACAAATGTAAATCCGAAACTCTCCTTTGTGGACACCAAAATTTGAATTTTATTTAAATTTCTAATGTCACAAAATACTAAGTTTTTCAATCTTTTTTTAAAAAATGTAAAAATAAATGATCATGGTGGCACATGTCTATCATCCTAGCACTCTGGGAGGCCAAGGAGCTCGTAAGTTCCCACTCCGTTTGAACAACTTGGCAATTAGCAAGACTCTGTCTCAAAAAAAAAGTAAAAATAATTTCTTGGATTACATGCCAACACTGACCCATAGGTCAGTTTTTGGCCTCTTACCTTAAACTATATATTCAATTAAAGAGGAGGGCTCACAATCTCTAGTCATTTCCCACTATTAATATTCCTAAACTCCCTGATAGTATGACAAGGCAGGGGAAGACATGTCTATAGACATTTAAATGATCAAAATACTTAATCACAGTAAAAAGCTCAGTGTTTCAAAAGATTTTTAGACTTAAGATCCAGAATATTTTAAGTCAACTGTGTGTATTTGTTTTTAACTCCTCACTATAAACTTTAAGTGAGATGTATTGCAGCAATTGTAACATGCTATTTATTATTCCTTCTCCACTTTCCATTATGAAAGTATTAAGAATTTTGGTGATAGGCATGACATAATTTTATTTTGGTAGTTTCTGCATCTAACACAGTAACTAACAAGAGTATCAGCCCTGCTGTGCAGGATGGCACACATCTGTAATCCCAGCACTTGGGAATCTGAGGCAGGAGGATCATCACAAGTTCAAGGCCAGCCTAGACTATATGTCAAAACCCTGTCTGAAAAAACAACAACAACAAAACAACAAAAAAAAAGTATAGGCCCAATGTTTGCTGAATAATTTCTAATTTGCCTTTACTTCTTTATATAGTCCTTAAGAAATATGCTACTTTAAATCTCCATCAAAGAAATAAGCAGCAAATAAATGCCTTCACTATGCTGCAGCATAGTGACATTAATTTAGTGTCCTGACTCCAGAATCATGTAAAATGTGTTTGAATCTTGGTTTTGGAACTTACTAAGCATGTTTCCCTCAGCCTTAATTCCCCTTCTGAAAAATGGTGAAAAATTGTTGTACCTGCTAGAGAATATAGTTTTAAGAATCAAATGACAAAATACGTTTAAAGCAACTAGCACAGTTTGTGGCAAAAAGAAAGTTTCAATCTAATGTAGTTCTTGGTAAATACAAAGTTCTCAATAAACAACCATCTTGGGGTTGGACACAAAGCTCAGTAGTAGAGCACTTGTCTGTCATGTGCAAGGCCCTTGGTTCCATCCCCAGTATGGCTAAATAAATAAAACAAAAGTATCTCATGTCCATAATAATCCAGTCATATTGGTCTTCCCTTTTCTATCCCCCGACCCTTAAAAATTTGTTTTCCCAAAGCGGCTAGAATGATCTTCAAACCCATATCACTCTGGCTGGAACTTTAAAACCTCATAGTTCCTAGGCAGTGAAAATAAAGTCTCAACTGCTGATCTTCATTTGCAAAGGTAATGACCCGGCTCCTTTTAAGCTTTGTAGGCCATAGTCTGTATATACTGATCAGCTCAATCACGGTACTGCTAAACAAATGTAAATAGGAAAATCTCCTTTGTGGACACCAAAATTTGAATTTTATCTAAATTTCAAGTGTCACAAAATATTAAGTTTTTCAACCTTTTTTTAAAAATGTAAAAATAAATGAACATGGTGGCACATGTCTGTCATCCTAGAACTCTGGGGCGCCAAGGGGCTCTTAAATTCCAGCTCAGTTTGGACAACTTGGCAATTAGCAAGTGACAATAATTTAGTGCCCCTATTTCCATTTTCCATCACTCAACCTTGGCCCAAGGAACTCCAACTACACTGACCTGTCAGTTCCTCAAACACTCAAGTGCATCCCCATTCTAGCTGTTCGAAACACTAGAATGCTTTTTCTAGCACGTGACTTTTTGCTTTTTCCTATTTTTCTGATCTCAGCTTTTGGAAAATCACCTTTTCCTACACGCCTTAGAAAACAACCTGTCTCCTACTCTGGCATTACCTTTAAGTTTTCTCCAGCACCATCTGCTAGCCCCACCTCTACACTACACGCTTTAGCTTCCTATGAGAGAATCCCAGGCAAACCTGGCGCCCTCATCGAATGAACTGCAGAAACAATCTATACGGTGCTGTGCACGCTGTCAGCCACTAGGAGACTTAATTACTTAATTACCTGTGCCAGAATTCGCGGGAGGGCCACACGGTCCCCCAACCCCGCTCTTTCCTGGCTACACCTAAGAGCTCCAGATTCCGGGGGTTTCTGTTCGTAAACTCTGGGGCAACGGCTTCATTTTCCACAGGCTCCGCGTCGGGCTTCACCGCTGGAGTGGAGCCGGTTGAGAGAGCTGCGAGCCGACAATCTAAGAAATGGAAACGACCACACGGATCCTTAAAAAAATACTGATACAGGTAGAACAGCAACGTGCTCTTAACTATTCCCATCCCCAATCTTTGGACTCTGAAAGGAGGGCGAAGTGAACGTTGTCATCGCACACCCTGATAAATAACATTCTGCCACAGTCATCACAATGCTGCTAGCACGATTACTCTACCCTACGTCCAACAGCATTTCCAAGAGGTAGGCCAGGTGGTGAACACTGGAATGCCAGCACACTGTGAGGCCGAGGCAGGAAGATGGCAAGTTCAAGCCAGCCTGAGCCATTTACAAAGGCCTTGCCTCAAAATAACGGGGTGGCGGGCAGAGGTGTAGCTCAGTGCCAAGGTCCTGGGTTCCATCTGAACACAAACAAATAAAATATGGCTTGTAAAATTCACTCACTGTGCAGGCACAGGGGAGTACGCTGAGAAGTGCAATAAGATAAATAACTCGGGTTCCTGTAAATCGGCAAATGCCAGAACCGTGACAAAAACGCCATCGCTGACAAGAAGCCGGACGAAAGCACGGGAGGACTGCCGTCTTTTCGTGACCTCAGAACGAGCAATTATCCCGCCTCAGCCATATTGCATCTGGAAGGAGGATGCGGACGGCCGCAAGGGAGCGGACCTCTGCTGTCCAAAACTGAGTGGCGAAACTCGCAATCTGTCACTTCGGCTCCGCCAATCACCGCATACGTCAAGGGGCACGCAGGCCGGAAGCCAACCCACCGCCTTCCGCGAGAGGCGCTCCGGGAGGATCAAGGGTGGGGGAACGCTATTGCCTCAAATTTAGCCACCAAGGAGGCCATCGCGTCCTCTGACGCCCCTTTGGGTCCTGTAGTCCCACAGCTCCCGCTCAAACTGACAGGGCTATACGTGTGAGGAAAAGGACAAAAGCCAGATGCACTGTTTTCAATTAACTAGAACCTTGCCCGTACTCCCCAGCGAAAGCCTTCCCTGATCCTTCCACGTGCAAACCCTCGTGAGTTCTAGAACAAAGCAGGGGCGATCGGCTTCATCCTCCCCGAACAAGCACTTAAGAAGATGGAACGTTCACTGCCTATGCCCCAACTCTTAACTCCGCCCACTGACCACTTTTTCTAGAACACACGAAAAATTTCAACGCGCACGCGCAGATCGCCTTCCGCAAGAATTCAAGCGTATTTCCTTCCCCCGTTGGTCCAACCTCATAACTTCCGATCTCTGTTCCGCGCCCTTCTACGGTATCCAAGGACGCATATACTGAGCCAGCCATTTTAAGGTTCCTCCTTTCCAGCAATTTTCCCGCTTCGCTGCCCCGCCCCTCCTTCCCGCCGTGCCTTGCAGCGGGGCCGGGGAGGGGGGCAGTGACAAGTTCTCTTACCCAGCAGCCTTCGCGGTTCGCGTGGTGCGGCTGGTGCGCGGAGGTAGTGCTAACACGCGGTCGGCACGAAATTGGACGCGAACCTCTCCGCGAAGATGGAGGGCCCTTTGTCCGTGCTGGGGGACCGCAGCACCGGGGAGGCGATCCGCTCGCAGAACGGTAAGGGGGGCGAGGCGGGGGCGGGCCTCCCGACACGGCCCGTGGGCGCCGTGCCCCGAGCGACCCCCGAGGAGCGCGGCCCCGGCCCGCA